CTGTTAAAAAAACGTGATTCGTTACCAACAATAGCCCTTTAGTATTAAAGGGCGCCAACAACGTTGTTTTGTCGATTAAGAGCGCCAACAACGTTGTTGTCGATAAAAGAGTACCTAAACCTAGCAATCTCCGTCCCGGATATGATATGGAACATGTTTTTAAGTATCGACCTCAAACTGATAACTATCGGTATGAAAAAGTGGTTAAAATAGAATAACAATAATTATGTAACACATCACGAAAAAATCAGGGCGACCATTTTACTGCGCCCCATTATTGCGCCTAGTGTAACCATGACACTAGTGTCACACTCTCTTTAAAAATTAAAAAAGTGCGTGAATTTTTTTTCACGGTGTCATATGATCATTGCCGGTGACGTAAGAAATAGGCAATGAGACTCAAACAGATAATAATACATAATACATGAGGCGGAAATTAGTAGCCGGGTTACCGATTTATGCAAAATCTGACTAAGGCAAATAATCAACTGCGCCATGAATTAATAAAACGAAGGCACGTACAGGGGTTGGAAAGCCCTTGCTTTTATGAAATCATCGGGATTTAATTAGCCGATCATCCCCTTTGACGCGTCTTCACCTTAATGTATAATATAAAAGACGTAAGGTGAGTTTGATATGTTCGATATATATATTTTTTGCGAAGCAAACAGGTTAAAGCCGTTCCGTAAATCACGCTGTATTTCAAATCGCTGAATATCTTTTAGCCACATCAGCATCTATGAAAATGACGGAAATTAATAATTCGCAAAGAATACCACAAGAAGTGAAAGATTTCTTCAAAAATAACTCGACGTGGTCGTTACTAAAGTTTCTTCAGTATAGAGAGAGAACCGAAAGTTTCATATATGAAAAAGATAAGAAACATATGTTTTATAAGAGCGCGTTGACCATGATTTCCGATGAGCAAGCTCAATTATGTCTCCTCAATTTTGAAGTTAAGTATATGAGATGTGTAATACCACAAGTAACAGCTGGGTTCAAGAGTTAAAATATGTTCCGGTCTCAGGACACATCGTGACATATTGACAACCACCGAGTAGCCAGCTGGATTCGTTCTGGCGGGTGAGAGAGGAGTTCGTCTTCTCTCGGCGCTCTTGAATATACTACGCGTTAGTTGCTATGACGCAATAGGTTGGGTTCGTCCTAACTTGTTGTCAGGCTTTGTGCTGTGTTATGGTCCATATCAATCACATAAGATAATTAAAAAAGAATTATTCAATCTTATGCTAACCAATATCCATTTTCTTTTTAATAAAGAGGGAGAAAATTTCTCAGAGTGTTGATAATTTCTGGAGTGAGATCGAGAAAAAACATTTAAAAGACAATATCGAAAAAGGATCGGTCTGTAAATTGTGCTTTGTAATTGTTTATTACTGTGCTGTACATAGAGGAACTAATTGATGTAAATAGTTAGGATACATCATTGACGTTATAGATGATTCGGCCGAGGATTCCAAAATTGCAAGGAAATTTTTATCCAACGAGCTAAAATCATTTGTAACAAGTTCTTTGAAGCGAGATTGTGTAAGTATTAAGAAAATTCGGTATTATATTATGTTTTTGCATAGTAATTTTACTTTCCTCTAACATTTAGTCACATGTGGAAACTTCTCAAGATCATTCCAATTTTCACACACCAGATCACAGTAAGAAGGTCAGGATAGGGGTTAATTCTGTCTCATTGTTTCGTACTGATTCTATGCATTTAACCATTTGTTTTAATATGCTATAGACCAGAACAGACATGTCCAATCTCTCATTCGATGAGTACACCAATGCTGTTAACGCCGTCAATTCTGTTCAAAACGATAAAGAATCTGCCCACACAAAGTAATATATGTTCTGCCTATTAATCTATCTATTCATTCTTGTGTGCTCATTTTCCCTGTTGTAGCCCACTCTGGTGGGGTGTTCTAGACTTTCGTGAGGAGAACGTGTCTCCGAGTCCAAGCCTTCCCCGTGCAAAGAATTTTCTCTCGGCTAATGAAATTGATCGTTTGATGAATATGACACAAAATGCTATTCAAGAAGAGAATGAAAAGATAAGTAAATCAGCTAAATCACTTTTAGAAGCATTGTTATTATCGGAAATCGTTAGCCTCCAACTTCTCGCAAAGGAATGTGGTGCACGTGGAGTAGTCGGTATACGTGATCTTTTGCAAAGGTCTGCTGGTAAAATGCAGGTGATTAAAATTATATGCGTACTATCGCCCACAAATCTATAAATTCTATAACAAATCAATTTGCAATAGGATGTTGATAATAAAAAAACAATTCAAAATCATCTCGCAAACGTAGATGCTGATGACGCTACAATATATATCGGGAGATGCATTGAGGACAGGTAAGTTTTCTTACACAAGATAATTTGATCATGAATTTAAACATGGTATTACAATAGATTCGTAAACTCTAATAATTATAATAGTTATGAATGGATCAGTCGTTTTCATGGACAATGTCAATCTGAACGAACCGTCGACATGTTCCTTGTTGGGCCTTTTGCAAAAACCCCGCAAAATATATTCACATAGTAAGAAATATGGCTTATTCTTGATAATTTATCTGTATTATTAATATTAAACATTATTTTTTTTCTCCTTTATAGTGGCGAAAACCACTCAGATGCTGACCGCGGGGATAAAACGGATCGTTCCGGGACTAGTCGTGTTGGCAAATCATGCGATTTTTTATATTGGGTATGTCTCATTCGGTTATGAAAAGTTAAGCTAATTCTAACATAGGCTTTATATGTAGAGCTCGTCTCGAGAAGCTGGCAATGGTGAGAATAGCGGGCCAACCCACAAGGATAATCATGACAAGGCGAAGACAAACTTCGTTGATACGATCAAAGTTTCCAGAGCACAGCATATCGAACTTGAGCTTCAAATTATCGAACAGAGTGGGGAAAATCCTCTGCCGGAGAGTCTACAAAAAGCAATGACGTCGATATTGATACCATTTTTTCATATAGTCGGAATGAGAATTCGGTTCTATCTTCTTTTCCAAATCAGCGGAGATCTGTACGGAGTTTGGGATTGGGCCTCGGAGTACTTACCGAAAGATGCAGATGTGGGAGAAGTTGCTCTACTATGTAAAAGATTTTTGGTTTACGGGGTACTTTGATTTTTTGATCAGTTTTGCTTTAAGTTATCAAGCTTTTACTAATAAAGTTTAATAGAATCTTGTAGAACGTGTAGGACGGATGTCAAACATTCTTGCTAAGAGGTCTAAAACCTTTAAAGACAAAATAATCAGTGAGTCTTCCAAACCAACTGTAGAGCTAAATAAATTGCGAACCCCCCGTAAAGAAGCAAAGATAGCAGAGTAAGATTGTGACAAATATGTAATCTAGTTATTTTGTACTGCGGGATATAAAAAATTAATAAAGTACATCGGAATAATAAATTAGAGATTGCATATAGTTGTCCTTACGAAAAAAATAATGTACATAAAGCATTTAAAGTCTTAAGTTTACTCAATAAGACCCAATTCTCGAAGATGCTCAGGAATAACTACATATTGGTCTTCGTAGTACCAAACATACCTTAAAACAATCCAGTTTTCCTCACATAAATCTTTCTTGTGTTGATCCCGTTCCTGTTGTTTAATAAAATTATTGGGATTTCCTCTGTGAAAGAATTCTATATAATGTTTATGTTGTTCACCTTGCACTTCGATCGCAAATCCATATTCTGGATAATAAATATCAAGATGTAAACCACTTGGATGTTCTGGAGTTTTGAGAAATTCAGGTTGACGTATCTT